TGAATATTAAACCCAAGCTCATCCATTGATTTCACTATTGAGTTACTAGGTTTTTCTGTGGTATTCTAGGCAAATGAAGGAAGTTGCTAGGTTGTTTCATGGGTGTAACTGCTTACAAAATCAAAAGATTGGAAGATCTAGTACAACAACAGGAAGCATATACCCTAGTAACTACAAATTTGGACCTAACTCAATTTTGATAAAAAAAAAAAAGTGAGTTACTAGGTTTTGTATTTTGACGGGAGAAATTGAGCTGGCCTTATCATTTAGCACCAACCCTCTCTCATGTAATATTTGATATATCTGAATAACAACCGGTGTATATAAGTAACCATGTTGTGATAACGTTTTAATTATAATATACCCTAACAGAGATATAATAAATCCGCCATTCCCTGTTCATGTATTGTATTACCTAGTAACGGTGTTATCTTAAAGGTCCTAGTGAAAGGGACACCATCAAATGAAATGAAATGAAATGGGGTTTAACGTCCTACTGTTCTGCTCCTATACTGGGCTAATGAAGACGGGCATATGCCATACAGTGTCTATGAGGGAAATTTTGCCCGGGCAGCGGCACTATCGCCTACTCTTATATCGAATTCCAACTGCCAAGGGTTCTTTTACGTGCATTCCAATGTATGCACGGGACCTCGGTTTTTCGTCTCATCCGAAGGACTAGACAGCAGTCCTTGTCAGGCCCTCCGTCCTGTATCACTGACAAGGGGGAACCACGCCGGAAAATCTGGATGAACTTTCTCGGCCAATGCAGGGATCGAAACCATCAAATGTACATTAGTTAAGAGCTAAATCTGCCTATTGCAAGTCTTTCTTTAGGCTTCAGATGTTATAGACCTTTATTTCCATGACAAGCTCACAATCAACTCTGTAGTGTAGACCCCCAGATGGCTTGGATACAGCTTGGATTTAAACAGTCGTTCATTTAATAATTAAATCAAGAAATGACCGATCAAGCTAACGTTTACCGTTGGTCACTGACGTCACTACCGGAGACTGCCAATGAAAGGACTGCCAATCGAGGGTATCGTAGGCATTGAGAATCTTACTTGATGATCGAGAATATGTGGGCGGAGTTATTATCTGTCAGTCAAATGATCGGCAATTCTCGGAGACGGTGCGGAGACAGTTGATGCCTATTTATAGTCCAAACTTCCAACAGTGATAAGTTCGTTCAGAATAAATAATTTGACTTTAATTTTTAAAATCATCTATTTTTGAATTATTATAGCAAGAATGGCCAACTCGTTCTTAAACTCTTAACTAATGTATCTTTAAATCCAAAATATTGCTGTTTTTTAAATGACTATGGAAAGATAAGCTGCGTTTTTGTAATCTATATAAACGAAGAGATAAAGAATACGACGTAAGACGTATAGGTGTCCTTGCGGATACGCAAATATCTTAGCTCACACACCTGCTAATGCACCCTGCACGTTCAATCATATGATAAAAATTTAACCATGTTAGTCTCAAAATAATGGAAGTTTAATGTTTGCGAGACATCAAACCCCATTCCATGCCTTTCCTAATCGACGGGCACAGTGGCTCAGTGTGTAGGATGTTGGCTCGCTAAACTGTAGGTCCCGTGTTCGATCCCTGCCTTGGCCGAGAAAGTTCATCGGGATTTTCAGGCGTGGTTCCCCCTTGTCAGTCATGTAGAACGGAGGGCCTGACAAGGGACAACGTATAGTCGTTCGAATGGGACGAAAAACCGAGGTCCCGCGTAAAAGATCCCTTAACAGTTGGAATGCGATATAAGAGTAGGTCGTACCACAGCTATCCTGGCAAAATTTCCCTCATAGCACACTGTGTGGAGTATGTCCGTCTTCATTAGCCCAGTCGGACCAGAACAGTAGGACGTTAAACCCTATTTCAGTTCATGTTATGTTGTCCCTCATAGCGCACTGTGTGGCGTAGTCCAGTCGGAGCAGAACAGTAGGACTTTAAACCCTATTTCATTTCAATTCATTTCCTTTCCTAATCTTACCAATGTGATGATTGGGAGTGTCATATTGTGTATAACGTCATGACATTTTTCACTATGGAGGTAAACAAACCCCATTTACCTAGTAACATAAATCAGTTATTGACATTAATACCCAGTTTATATATTTACTGTAGGTTTATATACTCATAGTGTCAATATGGTAGAAACAGGGTTAGCCAGTAGGATTAACATAAAACACAGGCTTGGGTTTTAATATCAAATGAAATGGGGTTTAACGTTCTGGGCTAATGCAGACGGACATATGCAATACAGTGTGCTACGAGAGGAATTTTGGCCGGACAGCTGCACTTTGGCCTATTCTTATATCGAATTCCAACTGCCAAGGGATCTTTAATGTGCACGCCAATGTATACACAGGTGACTTAAATTATATATAAAATTACCGGTGAAGAAAATACAAATCTATATTAAATTATGTATTCAATTACCAGTGAAAACGAAAGAGAGAGAGAGAAATGGGGTTTAACGTCCACTCGACACAAACTAGGTCATTTCGGGACTAACATATGGTTTAATTTAGGAGTCTTTAGCAGAGGGAGGAAACCGGAGGACCCGGAGAAAACCCATGAGGTTGGACAGGCGACCCTACTCCTTGTCACGTACAACCGGGGATTCGAAAGCGGGCCTTATGATACAGCGGTGCACGAGCTAACCATTCGGCCATCCAACCCCCCTCGGTGAAAACGAAAGAAAAGGGTTAGTGAGTATCTAAAACAAACGATTATAGAATGAGGAGTGGTGCCAGGTGTATCCTTCTGAAATGTGACTGGAATGTGGTATGAGGTATTCTAGGGGTCCAATTACACACATGGAAAACCTCCCCCTTCAGATACATTTATAAAAAGAATAAGGAAGCGGTGTCATGTTCTAGAATAAGGAAGTCGTATTCAGTCGTATCACCCAACCTGAAGTTTCGCATATATTTCTTTTGTTGTATTACAGATATTCAATGCCCCGGCGTGGCAGTGTGTGATGGTTCCTGGTGTGTGATTACCGTTTAGCACATGCGCAGTTGTGGGAGTCAGCTCACACCGTTATGGATGCGGTGTGCATTGACTCCCCATGAAAGGATTTCCCCTAAGATTTTCTTACGGTCAAATCGATTTCTACACTATTATCTACCAATATTTACAGTATTACCATAGGAGAGGGTGTCAAGTTTCTATTGTTTGTTTATTTCGATAAAAAGTAGAAATACAAATTGACTAAGGTTTGTAACGTATTCTACAATATACTAGACTTGTTTATTTGTCGGACAATAATCGACAATACACGTCAAGTAATATACCCAGTCGTTACAGACGCTTTCTCATTCCATCCTTGCAACCTGAAGTTTTCCAGATTATTCGTCAGTTGTTATCAGATATTCAATGTTGAGATATTGGACAATAATCAATATAATACGTTAATTAATCATATTATAAGTATGATTGATTTATTTAACATAGAACAGGTAATCAAACATTGGTAACAAATTTCTTTTACTAAGTAGAATATTTTATATTATTAGTTATTTATTAAAGAGAGAGAGAGAGAGAGAGAGAGACAGGGGGGAGGGGGGGGGAGAGAGAGCGCACTCCAAAAAACCTTCGGGACTAACATAGGGTACGCGTGTATTCCAAACTTCGCTTGCACATATAGATCTTTAGCAAAAGCGTGGGGAGGGGGGGGGGTAGTGTCTTAGGTGTAATTCTGGAGTTCAGATTTAGACATAAAAAGTATTGGCCTGCCATTTCTATTTTGGTTGTATTTGTTTGTTAACGATTTTCTTGTTATCTTATTCATTTTATCTTATTCTTATCCGCGATATCACCAACTTATGTACACATCTCACGGTCAACAAGAGATCTGTAGTGATGATAGTAATGAGATCTGTAATGACGGTAGTAATGATGGTAGTAATGATATCTGTAATGATGGTAGTATGGGGATCAGTAACGATGGTAAGAAGTCAGTACACAAACTCTGGCATAGTAGTCAGGTCAAAATACAGTTTAACCCCCAAAAATTGCAACAAAAGGTTTCTCAACTTATTCTATGATAGTGGGCAGCTGAAGGTCATGAATTCAATTTCATAATGATTCAACAGCTCAGTGATATTCAAAGTTCTCTTAATGTGTTCCTTGTCTCCCAAAACCTGGGGATAGACATCAAGATCATCAAATTTGAGCCAATAATTATGGACTTGCGGTCATTTGGAGGTGTTGGCGGCCATTTTTGACATAATAGGCCAACATCATTGTTCATGATCTTAATGTGTTCTTTAACCCCAAAAACCTAGGGAAAGACACCAAGATCATCAAATTTGAGTTGATAGTTCCATAGTTATGATCATTTTAAGACGTTTCGGTGGCCATTTTTGACGCCATCTTGAAAAAACACTTTTCCGGAGGTCCTACTTTGATAAACTTTTAGTATGTTATAAAGTACACTAAACCCTGTCAGAATAAGTTTAGAAACCTTTTGTTGCAATGTTTTGGGGGTTGGGGGTGTATTTTCCATATATTGACCTGACTATAGCGGATAAAGGGAAAAATGGATAATACACAAGCTAGAGAAACCAAGATCAGGAGCCTTATCCATGAAACATGTCAAGGATATAGACTTTTCATTTGTTGCGGTACACACTTTATCCCATAGCCATAGATAAGTCCTCCCGCTTAAAATATTTTCCCTCATAGCACACTGTATGGCGTATGCCCGTCTTCATTAGCCCAGTCGGAGCAGAACAGTAAGACATTAAACCCCATTTCATTTGCCAACACCGGGATCGAACATCCGACCTCCAGGCTAGTGAGCCAGCGTCTTAACCACTGAGCCACCGTGACTTCCCAAGTAGGACGTTAAGCAACATTCCATTGCATTTCTCCACTAATATAAAATGAATTCTTACATGACGGAATCCGAGTTTAAAACAACTCAAAATACGTGCTTCACTCGGCATGTAAAATACACTTCATTCACAACTTACCTATTGAATGTTTCTCCCCGGTATGTTGCGTTATCAAATGATGGTTTCCCAGGCTGTTGTAGACTTGATTGTCCAAATATTGATACTCACAGGTATAATATTACAATAGGCTTTGTTATCCGGGTATATATTATATGCAGGTAAGTAAACAAGGGGTGTTTATGTATATTGCATCATTGCATAAGGAACGTGTTGTAACTAGTAAACAAATATCGGCATCCTTTGTAGTCAAGTGGACGTTCCTATTTAATTTCTTGTAATACAAT